GAGAACGAGAGAGAGAGAGAGGGAGGGAGAAAGAGAGAAAAAGAGAGAGACAGAGAGAGACACAGAGAGAGAGAGAGAGAGAGGGAGAGAGAGAGAGAGAGAAAGAGAGAGCGTGTGGGGGATGCCGAGTATCAGAGAATGTTGGCTTTAAAGGAATAGCAAAAAGAAACGAAGTAAAATAGACAACTTATAAAAAACAGATTTTCATTTGTTACAAAAGTGAGTTACAGAGCACGTAGTATAATACTCACGTTTGGTGTGCTGATAATGACACTGGCTGCCCATGTAGAAGCCGAAGAATGAATCAAATCCTCTGTGAGTGGGTGTGTACTTTTTATTACAGAATCCCAAATGCCATCTGAAGATAGAAGAAGGGTAGAAGTAAACTTGCGACTTTTATTCAGGACTTGGTTATAAAATGCCCCTGACCCAATCTCTCCGGCTGGCGGCAGAGAGACGTCTATTTCTTCCCGGACACCCAAAAGGGTATACGCCGCGGATAAAAGAAGAAGAAAGAAGACTTATAAAATGCACACACAGGATCTCATCACGAATAAGACCTAACTGTGTTGCACGTGCCGTATAATGATCACTAAAACTAAACTAAAGTACAGCATCTCCACTCTCGGTGTGGTTACTTTTTGATAGCCTGTGACATTATGCATTAAGATGTTTTTGTTGCTCGTTTGAGTGTGCGTGGGAGAAGGTTTGAGTTTTACCAAGAACCTTGTACAAGATTTTGTCTCCATGAGTTTTGAGGGTATGTTGTTAACAGGTACACCGAATTTTGATAAAGTGACCATCCATAAAAACCAAACAAAAACAACAAAAAAACAACAACATACGCAAATGAGGGTCGTTGGATACATTTTCACTCTAATTATAAAAGAAAAAAACTAGACAGATCTTGCACTCGCTATTCTTCTTCTCTACATAGTCAGCCTGCGAATTGTCAGTTACGCCATTTTTTGGCTTGACCTACAAAAGTCCTCAAGCATAATAATAATATGACCCCCTGATGGGACTCAAACTATTCCTCTATTGCAGATATATGAGCATCTTCACCCCTATGGAAAACAGTGCCCCTTGTGGTTTATAAAAACACCTCTTCTAAAATTGCTCTAAAGTTCAAATCAATCATCAACATTTTTTCGAAACTCCGAGATCGAGGCGTTGATTAATTACATTGAAATCCCATTCTGAAAGTTTCATTGTTTTCTGACCATTTTATTTTGTCATAGTCAGGGCAAAGACTTATTGAATGCCCAACATAAGATAGATGGACAGACAGACAGAGAGGTACACGGACAGACAGACAGATATAATGAAAGAGAGAGAGAAAGAGAAGAGAAAGAAAGGGAGAGAGAGAGAGAGAGAGAGAGAGAGAGAGAGAGAGAGAGAGGATGAGAGAGAGAGAGAAGAAGAAGAAGAGAGCGATTGAGATAAAGAGAGAAAGAGTGAGAGAGAGAAAGAGAGAGAGAGAGAGAGAGAGAGAGAGAGAGAGAGAGAGAGAGAGAGAGAGAGAGAGAGCAAAGATGGGGACGTAGGTGAGAAGACGAAGAAAGGTGAGGGAACTCAGAGCCAGTGCGGGATGTAAAGAGCTAAAATTGGAAGGTGGGCCTCGGGCCTCTCGACTTAAGCACAGAATAAGGAGAAGGGTGAAAAAGTGCAACAAACTTGGCGAAACTGGATCATCCGACATATTGACTATCCCATTAACCAGAGGCAAATCGTCAGCGGATATGATAGTTTACCGAGTGTCCGGAGATCGAGAAATTACTCAGACCGGTACAAAAAGAAACAGCGAAATAAAATTGTGACTTTTTCTAATACCAACAGAGTTGATTTAAATCGAGATTTTTAGCTGCCTCATTCAAAATCCGCAGCGTAATGATTCTTATGAAATTATAAATTCTAGTTTTCCCCCGCAGCGGACTAACACTGACAGCTTTTGCTGGATTCAAAACCACTAATGATGATGCTAATGTAACGGGTGGCTGCTTTCAGTTTGTTTTTCTTGCGCGGGTGGTTAGTAAGCACTCTGGCGTGGTTTGCCCCTCGTGTGTCGTTTCTGCATCTCTTTAGTCTTCACCTATTCCATGTGAAATTTATATGTGACCGTTATTGTTTGGCCGGCTTAAATTACCACCAGCACACAACAGCAGTCGCAGCAGTAGTAACAGCTAAAACAAGCACTGAAACAAGAACAAAAGCAGCAATAATAACAGCATAAACATGATATTTCTACTTAGAGAAACGTTTGGTGTGGTTGGTTGGCGTGTGCTCGGGGGTGGTTTGTTCCTTCTTTCCTATCAAACGTCTAGCTTCCTGATCTCATCTCCTTCTTTTCTTGTGTGTTTTTTACTCTTTTATAATGCCTCCCAGCTTCGTCATAATTTGTTTGACCTTCTTGTGTTGCAATTGCCGTAAAACTCTTGCTGATACTAAAAGACGTTGGGTGTTACACACAGCCCTCTCTGTCCGGTATCCCTGCGTCTGCGCGTGAGCAGAGTGAGTTTAGTATGGTGGAAACTGTTAAACACATGAAGTGAAGAGTCAGT